AGGACAGGAAGGAATCTCGTCTTCCAATTTTGCTCTCAAAGCAAAGGCTCAATAATCTTGCAGTCAGGGAGTCAGGCAACAGTGATTGCTCAACTTTTCTGCTTGCCACATTAATCTCTTCATACATTATTGTTCAAAATACAGGATTTACTAATCCTGGTTTATGGCTATAGTGGCATCTGTCAGGCACCCATATAATCAAATATTATTTGAACATCAATATTTTAATACAAATGGCTGTTTCCGATATCTGACATATACATACATTTTTAAAATGCTATAATGTTTAAATCAAAACATAGCTACAATCATTCATATTTATTCCAAATTTCAATCAATGAAAAAGATATATATGGTTAAATCTTGATACTTCCTGTCACCATGATTATAAATAACCATCACATCTTAAGAAACCTGCCTGGTGAGCATCTCTCCTTAAGCCTCTTCGAATATGGATGCTTTGTCAGGTCTCCTCTTAGACTTGTGAATTGATGTTCAATTGATATTTTTGAAAAATAAGAATGAGAAAATATTTTTTAAACTAACTCAAGAGAGTTTTTAGTGAAACCCCCAGTGAAATATTGCTATCATTGAAATGAAATACTGAATGAGACTTATAGAGCTCAAGGCAAATAGGATTATAGTAGCTATTTGTTTAAAAAAAAGGATATTGGAAAAGGTTAAACTAAGTTTTCTTAGACATAAGTGTCTTTGAAATCCCCAAAGCAATCAATCCCAGTAGAATGAATATAGTGTTTGCCATCTTTGAGAACTTGTCAGTTAGAAAGGAACTTTAGAGATCAATGTTGAGGAACCCAAGAGTAGTGTTTGCAGCAGTTATTTTTCCTTACTTTCTTTCTACTGTTGGACTTAGGAAACTTATGGTTGCAAAGCCTACAGACCAGTTGTCTTTATGGCAGTGGATCTGTTTCACATATTAACTTTATACTTTTAAAATAATGCGTGAATGAAGAAATGCATGCCAATTTCAACATGTGAACAAAACATTTCTTTACCTGCCACTAGTTTTTTTGAATCCATGAGTTCCAAAAACATACATGTTGGATCTAAATAGCACCATGAAGAGAATATTATAGAGCTGAGTAGATTTCAGACAGAAGCTCTGTTCCATCGCTTTACAACACTGGTTCTCAAAGTGTGCTCTAAGGAGCCCTTAGAGCTCTGTAAAGCATTCAGGGGCTTCACACTTCCCTCCTCCTCCCTCTCCAAGTGTGTAGCGGTGGTGAAGGAAGCACTGGTTGGCTGGGGGCTCCCCCACTGCTGAAGCACCAGAAGCACAGCTGCTAGAACTGTGTGCTGCCAGAAGCATCACCATTGAAGCACTGCTGCCAAAAGCGGGACACCGAAGGGTGGAGCCCCCATTGGAGTTGGCAGAGGTAGAGATGTGCAGGAGGGGGGGGGGCGGTAAGAGAGCAGGAGCACTGCTGGGGCTCTCAAAACAGCAACTTGGCAGTGGTGGCAGCGAGGGTCCTATTGAATGCCAGACCGGGTCCTGGTGGCAGCACCAGTGGGAAAAGTGAGCTCCAGGCCCTGCGGGGGGAAGTCCAGGGCTGGCCACAGGCCCTTTCTGGAGGGAGTGGGTCCTTGCTCAACAGGAATTTGCTCGGTTTTTTCAATTAGTTCACAAACATTCTCCACCCATCTGCCATTGGCCCAGCCCTATCTGTCAAATTTTGAAACGCAATGCTGTCCATGTCCAAAAGTTTGCCCATACTTGATATACAAGGTTTAAAAAACCCCTACAGAACATTAAACCATTAAAACAGAAAATTGTTTTTAAAAACTTGAGTTATTTCTTAAAGGTTTTTGGAAACAAGAAAGTTTTCACTTGCTGGTGGAAGGACAGTATAGAAATAGTCATGCTAACCTATTGCTAACTGGACCTAATTATAGGGAGCAGATGACGCCCCTATTAAAACAGCTCCACTGGTTGCCGATAAGTGTTTGGTCTCAACTGAAAGTACAGGTTATCACCTACAAAGTCCTAAATGGCTCGGGTCCTGCCTATCTTCATGACCACATATCCCCCCCTCCCCCAATGATCCTGCATGAGCAGTAAGATCTGCCAGGGAGGCCCTCTTCATGGTCCTTTCACCATCACAAGTGCAGTGGTGGAAATGAGAGAGGGTCTTCTCAGTGGTGGCCCCCTGGCTTTGGAACGCCCTCCCCAGGGAGATTAGGCAGGCCCCCACACTGTCCTCCTTCTGGAAGAAATTGTAGGCTTAGATGTTTGGACAAGCCTTTGACAATGGCTAATCCCAATGGTCAGCAATTAATCTCACATCTCTGTACTTTCATCCCATGCCCAAAATGGAGGCGGAATACAAAAATAAAGTTATTATTATTATTAACCTCCCTTGAGAGGAGTTCCAAAACCTGGAATCAGACACTTAGAAGGTCCTCTCCTGTGCTACCACCAAATGTGCCTGGGAAGGTGGCGGGGCATGAGTCCCAATATTGAGGAAAAGTGGGAAATTATTATGGCAATTATAACAGCAGCACACCAAAGAGGTCCATATACAATCTGGATCTAAGTTGCATAGGGCTCGATAGGTAAGAACCAGCATTTGAATTTTGCTGGGAAATGAACCAGAAGGAAGTGAAGCTATAGCAACAAAGGAGTTGCATGCTTTCTGTAGTCAACCACAATTAACAATCTGGGTGCAGCTTATTGGGCCAAACAAACATTCTGAGTGTTTTTCAACAGTAGTCCCACATATAGCACATTTCAGTAATAAAACTGATGGAGCCAAAGCAGGGTGGCTCTGAAGAATATCATGGTGGATGGTATCAGACGCTACCAAGTGCCACACCAAAACCAATAGGGTATTCCTTGTCCAATTTGTGGTGTAGGTCATTCAAGGCGACCAAAGCTGTCTTTATCCCACAGTCAGACCTTAAGCCAAATTGGAAAGGATCTAGATAATCTATTTATTTCAGGAATCTCTGGAATTGAGGATCCACCATGTATTCCAGCAAATTGCCCCAAAATGGAATATTGGACCCTGGCTAACAGTTATTCAATATAACCAAGGCCAGGAAAGTTTAATCAGTAAAAACCTTCAGCAGCCTCCCTGAAGCATTTTGGAATTTTGGACACTATCTTTCTCCAAAGAGGATCCGACTGCTCTTTTTCCAATAGGACATGCATCTGTTATAGGACATGTATCAATTATAGTGCACAGATAAGAATGAATATGAGCAATTTCATCTGCCCAGTGCTGGACAAATTCTTCAAAGATGAGTGTCCAGGTTCTCTTGTGGGCCAAGTTGTTAAAGAGTCAAATCACTAAAAACAGCACCACATTATGACTTTTGAAATAAAACAAAATAAAAATAAAAAGACCAGGAGTCGAAAGACAAAGGGAAAGAGGAATCTGCACAGTGATCTGTGGGGGACGTAAGAAGGCAGATGTGGGAGACTTGTGAGAAACAGAGTAGAGGAGATAGAAGAGAAGTAGCACTGGATTGAGCTAGGATAAACAGGTTCTGAACCCAAGTGAATCTGGGCACTTTCAGTAGTAAATAATGCCAGCTGGATTCTGCCGAAGGATGAGATTTGGGCCTTTGCCTTGACTAATCCAAATCAGTTAAGCCTTATATCCCATTGGAGTGAAGGGATTAAGTGTTTGCAGAAGGGCTGGTCTGTAAAGTATCTTTGTTACAAATATTTAATGTCAGTGATTACATTTTAGTATTTTAAAAGTCCTTTGATCTAAGAATGCAGACGAACAGCTACTTTAAGACTTTATTGAAAGAGTTACATGTTCAAAGGTAAGGAAGCAGGCCCATTTTTATTTGTGAACATAGTTCTCTCAATTTTGCACTGGAAATCAACAGACTCTGATGAGATTCTGTACATGGTAATTGATAAAACAGCTACTAACATGTTTATGGTGAAACGTTTTTCTAGATCAGTATGGGTACTACAGAAGTCCAATGAGAATTTCCTGACTACTACAAGAACAATATATTATTGCCCAGAAACCACACGATCTATCATAGAGATAAATTTAGCTGGAGGCAAAAAATTAAGTATTTTGACATGGCCTAGTATGCACTGCAAGAATTTTAATATGATGCAGTTCTCTCCTTTGGATATAAACGGTTATGTATGCATTTTTATTAAAATAAGTATGTCACTGGAGTGCAGATAAACAAAACCAGGTAATTAGTTTCACTATGGGAGTTAATTAGTACACTGACTTACTGGCCTTGAAGTCCCTATTTCTAAAACTGGTACCTAAATCTGATTACATGAAAGGGAAAAGCAGATCAACAGGAGTGTAATCCAAGACCAAATTTAGCTGACTAAGTCACGTACAACATAATGGATAAATACATACATGTGAAAATACTATCACATACAACACTGATCTTAAAGGGCACTTAGCATTATTTTGTCATTTAGTCATTCCTCATTTCATATTACCAGATTTGGATTTACATACTTATATTCAATTCTCTGTGTTTATATTTACAATCAAAAAAGTTTGGTAAATAGAAGATCACAAGTTTTGCTTGATATTTTTCATTTTTATGAAAGAGGATGCTGTTATTGTGGAAATGTAAAATTGTAAATCTCAGGTCTGTTACCACATGATATTTCTGCACTGCAACTACTACAGCAGCATTTTATACAACTATACAGAAGGAAAGGTTATAACCAGTACAGGAACCATTATAATGATCTAACATTTTTCAGAGATGAACACAGGATCGGACTCAATGGTTTTGAATGATAACCATGAAGTTGTATTACCCTTGTTACATGAATGGGGGGGGGGGGGGGGGGGGAGAGATCATATGGCAGTTCCTTTAGACTCTTTAAGATTATCACATCAGGATGTATTTGGTTCATTGGAATATTCTGCAGGATTATGAGCTGAAATTTCTGCAAAGTGTATCGCTTTGAGTGCACTTCCTCATCCTGAAGAAACACTAAGAACTTTCAATTAACATAGGCAGAATAGCAGATATTTAAACTGTGGAAACTCTGTTAATTTAATACAAAAGGAACTATTTGCATATCTAAAAGAAAAGCACTGCTTTAATAAAACCATCTACATATCTAATATATTGAATTTTTTAAAGAAAGTTAAAACCACTGAATCTTCAAAGTAACCAGATATATGTCAGACATCTTCAGCAATCGCAGTGTCAAAAATCCGATAGCAAAGTTTTTCTTCAGTTTCATCCTTGACATAATACGATTTAATGAAGCATTCCAGCCATGGCAACTGATCTACAAAACAAAACATATATTATCAGTATATATGTAAATCCCTGTACTTTACCGTTAACTGTGCCAGGGAAAAAAAGTCTTATAGGAACATTAATTCAACAATAATTTAGTCCTTGGATAAGGGGGCATATAACACACAGCTTTAGTTTGTAAGTGTTTTATGTAGCCTCAATGTGAAGCGGCACTGAATCTTGCTGGAGTTGTAAGCCCCCCTGAGTCCCCCTGCAGGGGTGAGAAAGGCGGGGTACAAATGAAGCAAATAAATAAATAAATTTCCTAGACCATGTCAATTATTCAGCACCTATATGCCACCCTTTCCACCAGAAAAAAAAATCTATTCTCATCCCTGGAAGCTCACAGAAGTGGTAAACTAACTATAAAATGACGTGTACTCCATTTGATACCTTGCTTTGTTCTTCAAAGTAACTTAAAGGGAGGTGGGGGGAGGAAGTGGACAGGTGAACATTTTCAGTTCTAATTTTCCCCTTCTCATCTTCTAGGCCAATGTGACCCACGCTCAGTCCAAGCAGAGAAAAGTGGCCCTTGGTCACCCAGACCTTGCCCTCCCTGGTGCAATACTATCCTAAAATGCAAGTGGACAGCAGACAAGAGAAACAACACAATTATGTTCCCCTGTCTCCCTTCAAAAAAGAAATAGGCAGCGGGCACTGCCCAGGTTGCTGTTTTTATTGGGGGTAGGAGGGAGTTATGATATTTAATCAAAATGTGATCTTTGGCAAATTTACCTCATGTGCTGTGGCCTAAAATTACTAGATGCTCATTTAGAAGTAAAGTTTTAAGTTGTGCATTTTAATCTGCATCCCATCAGTGAATTTTAACTTGTATTTTAACTCTGTGTATATTGTGGTATGTGTTTTAAGTTTTTTATCCCATTTTGTGCCACAGAGAGGAATGGGTACAGTTTTTGTTGTTGTTAGTATTTGGAAGAACACCAGTCAAACCCTCAAATTCATGATTTTTCAAATGGCCTGCTGCTGAATTCTGTTGCCACAAACCACAATTCTGTTGCCTCTAGTGATGTTCCTAAGGGTGAAATGGCAGTTCTTACGAGTCTAGAAATATGCCTGACACGTACAGCAAAGCAAATGGATCATCCCTTTTAAAAAAATTCAGGGCAAGCTTACTATGAAATATACATCTTCTACATATTAAATAACACCCCCACTTCACAATACCTGAAGCAAAAACCTGTTTTTTGGATGTTTTAAACAATTCAGTTTGGCTTCTGTCTGAAGCACTACACGCTCATACAGGAACCACTGCCAAATGCAATCAGTGTTCCCCTGTACACTACAACAGGAGATATTACTTTTCGCCCTTTTTTGAAAACTCAGCATAAAATCCATAAATTTTAGTACTTGTCACTGATTCTAGCAGACATTTACACTGCTTAAGGGCAAAGCCTATTCCTTACAGCTCTGCTAGTGAGTCATGATTTCAATTGTTCTTGTTTTTCTCACAAAGCTCATCAATCTGTGTGTCTGTCTATCTCCAACACAGATAGAAACCAACTTTCACTATGGGGAAAATAAGCAAACATTTAATTAAGAAATATTTCTTTATATATCCACTCAAGTAGTCATATCCTTCTATAGTTAACAGGCATTTTGAACTAATTTTACATCAGATTGGACCCACTTTATTTAGTGAATGCACAAACTAAATCTTTCCATGAGGTTATGGGAAGGTTAGCAATTATAAAAGATTAGAAGGGACTGCATGTGATGCCATCTGTGACTTTGTCTGATGGGTCAGCAAGTGATGCCATCTGTGACTTCATTTGAAGGCGACCTTTTAAAGCTGGTAAAAAGGCTGCCTTCCCATCCAATAATTCTCTCAGAAATCTCTCAGACTGAACAAAGTGGCAGACGCGTCATATAAAGAATCAGAAGCTGCAACACCAATGGACTACATTAGCATTGCTATTCCTCTCCAGTGAATCAGACTTTAGATGTTCCTGACAGGTGGTAATTTTGTTCATGTACTTCAATCTTCAAAGACTTCTCACTTGTTCAACTGTCACATGGGGCCTAAGTGAAAAAGATCTATTGCTGATTTGCCATTTCTTCACTTAGTGTAGCAACAGAGGTTTCAATTATTCTATGCAGAGTCTAAGATTCCATCCTTGATTTGACTCCAAAATAGCAGCTGGAAGTCTGTTGCCTGCTCCCCATACTACAACGTGCAATTATTTGTCAATTTCATTCTTAAAGGAATAAATGAATAATTTTAGCAACTTCTGAAGTGAGAATGCCTTCAAAAACTACAGTTTTGGATGACTATTTGAAGTTTAGGACATATTTCGCATAAAATGTACACTTGGCTTTTTTGATACATAAACTATTTTCTATATAAAAATGCTATTTTCAGTGAAGAATGTTCTTTACTTGGGGATTCAGTAAAAATCATTCCCTGCCCCTCCACCCCGCCCCACAAATAGCATTTTCTTCAAAGAAAATAATATTTACCTATACACAAAAAAAGAGAAATTATGCAAAAAATTGTGCACAATAAGACCTAAATTCTTGCTATGGTTTTTTGACACTTGGAAAACATATCATATTTTAATATTCTCTCCATCCTTTAGTGTTCCATTATGTTAATGATATTAATGTTAAACATAGTGTGTAGTATAATAAACTGCACAGTGGATAAAAGCCCAAAATTTGAGGGAAGATAGTGGTAAAAGGGAGTATGGATGGGAACTTTGATATGTCATTGATCAGAAATTTGATGGGGGGGGGGAATTCTTGGAGAACCCAAGGGGAGGGTTGCATTTTCTTTCCAAAACTCGGCGTGTTAACAAAATTATTACTCTTCATGCACTTGCTTTCATCAGAATTTTGAAAGCAGCTGGTTCAATGGAAAAGATATCATAAGACACCTTTATTAATTGATTTCAGCACAATCTTTTGTGGACAATTGTCTACAAAAACATATAGTTAAATAAATGAAAGCTGCCATAAGACCGTTTCCTTCTTTAATACCAAAGCAGACAAACAAAGCAATCTCTCTGAATCTCTGCAGGAAATTTAATCATTCCTATAAGCCGCAAGCATTTCACACTAGTTGCTACTGAAATGAACATGTTTGAAGGCAAATCAGCAAGCTAGCAAAGAAAGTACAGCTTTTACAGAGTTTTGTTTTGATTTTTTTTCCTGCAGGTAAAGAAAATGATATTAAAAGGCTTTGACTTGCAGCTGTTGACTAAACAGTAGTAAGGTAAGGCATTTCAAGCTGAAAACAATACTTCTCTTTCTGATCTTTGAGTTTTGCATAAAAGTAATTGAGAATATAGTGATGATTAAGATTCAAAATATAGTCTTAATTATCAACATACCCATATTTACTTGAGAATAATGCACCACTAAATGTAATGCACACCTCAATTTTGAAGGTGCACAATATAAAAAATGGACCCCGAGAGTCACTTGGGAGGCAGGATCTGTGGCTAAGAGGCAGGAATTACTGAGTCATTAGGTGGGCACTCCTCCTTCTTCTCCAGGCACCCTGAGGTTGCAGCCACCATTAGGAACAGCCTCTCCCGCAGACTCTGGGGTCCTGGGTTCCTTTGGGCCTTTTCACACAGGTAGGTTTAGAGTCATAGTTCGAATCCAATTCACACCTCGATTTTGGCAATGCAATTCAGTCCAAAAGAATGAGCATTAGACTCAGGTAAATATCATATTTATCAGCTTGGTGTAGAAAACAAGTGCCCTAACAGATGATAGGACATACAATGGGGTAGTATTTTTAATGTTTTGCCTAAGGCCTAAATTAAATTTTTAGCTTGAAAAGCAGACCAATTGAATCAATGTGATTGTAGCAAGTCAAGACTCAATGGGTATATTTTTGGGACTAACAGCTTATTTTGTACTGCCCGGTTTGCTCCCTAGTTGGAACTTAATGGTAGTACTAAATAATAGTTCTGTTGCCTTTCAAAAGGTTAATACCGAAAGATAATGCTAGGTGATTCTGTTCCGTTTGAATGCAAGTGCTTTTCTGAGGTACCTAATGTCTACATATTTTATCTAATCTATGCTCAAAATAGTCTCCTTACCTAGATTTTTGCCCATAGGGCAAAGTTTCTGCATGATCCTTTCCATAATCTCTTGAAAAATATTACTGGTTAAAACTTCAGAAGCTGGAATTTGGAAGAAATTTTGCTGGAAGAGACAAGAAAAATAATATGGATATGTAATTGAATTGGACAATAGAAAAAAGGCTTTTCTAAAGATTTCCCTTTGAGCCTGAAATTTTAAAATAAGTCAATTGTTTATGTCTACATTTTTAAACTAATGCAAGTAAGGAAAAATAAAATAGTGATACTTATACAGAGTAAAAAAATTGCAACTTTCAAAGATATATAGATTTTATACTTTTATAAGGAATTAAGCTAGCTTTATTTCATAAATGAACCTAACTAAATTAAAATGCTCTTGTCTTGGAGGGTAAAAAATAATCAAGATACATAAAGTAATATACCATCTCTGTACAGTGAAGTTCATAACAGGTTACTCATGTAAGACTCAAATGTACACAGAATAATTTCTACTACCGAGGTGTAGCTATTTCACAAAATACTCTCCAGGGTATTATGACCCAGTTATTAACCTTAAAGCAATCACTTTGGAGTTTTAAAATGTAACTTTAAAATCATTTTAACTACAAAGTGAACATTTTAAGACTAATCAGTGGCTCATATTACAATAAAATATGCTAGATATTTTGTGAAATAACTCCATACCAGTAAAGAAATTGCTACATACTTAAAAGTCAGCAATACTCTATGAGTGAATCTCCTTGAGGTTTCTTCTTCTCGTATTTTTCCTTAGGAAAGATGTTTGAAGCATGCTGTTTTTTGCCATAATTGCTATGACGACAGTGGCCAGCATGTGTAGTAGCAAAAGACAAAAACTAAGAGCAAAAGTTACTGTCTACCATTTTAATTCCCTACAACACATCTATGCATTTAATAACGCAAGAGTGATGCTACTGCAGGTCCAAAGAAACACTGTGGGGCAATTAAGAAAGTGGGTATGAAGCTCATTAGCCAAGGAATGAGGAAAACCAGAATTTTAGCATTTTACTCAATGATTATCTTTGTGCCTGGCTGTAGGCAATATACAGAGTTGGTGGTAAGTCCACTCAGACTATAGACCATCAGACGTCACATGTCACGGACCCATCAAGCCAGTATTTTCAAACATGTTTGGGAATAGCTCTATAGTTTCAAGCAGAATCATTTCTTAACCTTCTTGGAGTAGTAGATTGAAGGTGGATAACTACTGTATGTAAAGCAAGTGTTCTACCACTGACCCATGACAATTTATTGCAATGGTTCAAAAACTTTTCTCCTTCAGGTGCATAGACTTCAGCTCCTGAAGCTCCTGATAGTTGGCCTAGCTATCTGGGGGTTTCTAGGAGTTGAAGTCCCAAACGAAGGATCAAAGGCCGGGAATCACTTATCTATTGTATTATGTTTTGGTGCATTACTTTACTTACTCTACATATCCCTGTTCTAGAAATTTTAGTCAGAAAACCAAATCTGGGGCAAGTTATTCATGGATCAATAGGAGTACTGAATCTTAATCCCCCCCCCTCTCACACACAATATGTGTAAAATGGCATTAAACTGAGTTAAAACCATTACCACTGACAATATTGGCCTGTAAGTCCAGTTTCTAATGAGTCAATGTATCATTTTTTCTGCAGTTCTATTTAAAAAGTCAAAGTTGGAATATATATATGTTCTCAAGCCAAATTTATATGTAGTTAACCAATGTATTTTTAATAAGTGCATAGTTCTTACTTATATGCTTGACTTTGCCTAATGGCTTTCACAAGAACACATTTATATTTGAAATAAATATTTCAAGAGTAGCATAATCTAGTATCTTACACAGTCCATGAGATATACATCCAGTGATCCAGTTCCATCATCCAGTATAAACTTCATTAGAAAGACATATTGGAGCAGAACAATTCCTAAAGCTAAGCAAAAGGAAAACAGCATGTATTGGAAGCTTTTGTTTAAAATAACACACTCTGAAATACAGACAACACAAACATTTCAACTTGAGAAAATAGATGCTGCAAGATGGCAGAGATGGGCATTTTTTCCTGATGTGGATGACATGTCCTTGGAATTAAATAAGTAAAGGTAAAGGTTTCCCCTGACATTAAGTCGAGTCGTGTCCGACTCTGGGGGTTGGTGCTCATTTCCATTACTGAGCTGAAGAACCGGCGATGTCCGTAGATATCTCCAAGGTCATGTGGCTGGCATGACTGCATGGAGCACCATTATTAAATACTCAGGGGCTATTGCCCAGAGCCAAATTAGGGAGGTCACCTTTTTCCTACATAGCCTTCCAGGAACTTCACCAAATAAAATAGCATGGAAGCAAAAGAAATTACATTTTCATGCTACAACAAGGCACTCAGGGCATGCCTAACTTCTCAATTCTCATTCTAAGAACTGAATGGTGCTCACCAAATTGTCTGGGAAATGTGACATCACTTTCTATGTTGATGATAGAGGGGAAATTTGCCCCTTCAGACCCAGGAAAATTTCCCAAACTAGCAAAGCAAAGAAAGCAAAGAAAGAGTTGCCAATCATGCTGAAAGGCGCAGACTACAATAACATAGGCTCATATGGCAAGAGCACTGCACATATATTTTTAGATAATACCATAGGTATGACATCAATCAACACTATCGTATATGTTCATTAAAGATCTGCTCACTTGTTGAAACAGAGCTAACCCATAACACCTTTTTTAACTATGGCCAATACTGCTGCACCAAAGCACCTGCATGTAGAATGGTATCCTTATCTATCCTCATTAGCAGCAGGATTCAGATGAACAGTTCTCAGTAAATATTTATTATGCAGTTTGAAAGTCTGCCATCATTTTATGGACTCATTTTCTTGTGGCCCGTGCTCTTTCTAATGAAGACAGGAGGGAACCGCTACTGGTTTCATGGTGAAAGAATGATTCCTCACTGAAATTTTCATGCAGCATACGTCCTCTTAAGACACATGCAGACATAATCATAGACATTCACATACATGCACTTTTTGTCTATGTTAAATGCTTAAAACATTGCTCAGTAAAGGCATAAGCTCATTACTAAGTCAGGCTTTAAATGGATTTTCCTGAGCACATCTATACAGTGTGACTGCCCCATTATTCTCTTGTTTTTCATTTATTTCCCTCTTTCTATGAAAACAAATGCCCTTTTGCACTGCTTCAAGCAGAACTTCCATTTTCCTGGCCTCTTTTCTGGACAGAACGTGCCTGGGAGTGGCAGCATGACTGGCACTCATTCTCAGGGACGTTCTTGTCCTGCAACACAGCTGACCTATCACTTAAGGCAGTGGCAATGCTTTTCCCCCTTGTGAAATAAAGGAAGGAAGGAGAATATAACATTCAGCTTTGTTTTATGTAAAGATGAGACTGTTATTTCTGAATTTATTTCCACATCCAGATCCTTAAAACTGATGGATAGTGGAATAGTTTCCAGTGTGAACAGTGTACACCTGTAGGATCCCTGTCATAAAGCTACTGAATACATTATCTCTAACAGGTACTTTGCCAGGGGTCACCCCATTCAAATTAAGGGGGTGAGGGAGAGATTAGCCTTTTTAAAATTTGCTCAAATGCAAAGCTGTTAAAAGAGCAAGTTCTTTCTCTGTGTGGAGCAGGGTTTCCTGTGAGCCCTGTATTGTGTCTGCGTGTGGAATCTTGAGCCCTGTTGGAAGCTGCCTAATTCTTATTTCCATCATACCTTGCCAGTGACCATGCTTGCTGGGAAAAATAGAAATTGAGATTCTGCAACATTGTTTTCTACAGGCTCCGGACTACTCCTGCTCTAAGGCAACTTTTACTAGCTAAGAACAAGTTGCAATCAGGATTCCAGGCTCTTGCTGGTACAATATTGCAGAGCTCCCTTGCACTTGTGTTGTGTGAGCTTCCAGTTTTTTGAAAGTAAAGTCTTCATTACTTTTGCCATAGAAGAAAAATGCAAGGAGAAATTATTTTAATTCTATTTAATTTGTCAGTTTGTATAACACTCACAATTTCTATTTAAGTCACCTCTTTCCAAAATTCAGATAACATCGGCTCATACAATACTGCAGTACATCTTTGCACCGCATTTTTGAGAAGATACTCTTATGTAGATCAGGGCTGGTCAAAGTGCAGTCCTGTCACCACATGTGGTTCCAAGACCTATTTCTGCAGTCATCAACCTTTCCAGACTCCCACCGAGTCCCCAAGAACAGCATTTCATTTTTGAAGTAAATTGTATACCCATAACATTTAATAGTAAAAATTCCACAATTTATTTTAAAAGGCAGATTTCAGACCAACTCCAAATGTTCTTTATTTGAGTTGTGTGTTTTTTATGAGTTGGGTGTGTATCTAGTCATAAGAGGGCTTCAGAAACAGAGAACTGTGGTCTTTGCTAATAATGTTTTTAAGCTTTTTTATTTATAGATCTCTGTCTGTATGTGTTCCTAATACCACACCAGAGTGAAAATATTTGGACGCGTCACTGAGGATTCAAACTTCAGAATATAACCACAATATGACTGGATGGCAGAAGAGGCAAGTCTCACCTTGTGCTATTGTTGTGGGATCCCATGGTGGGTTTTTCAGTGCAGCAATGGAGCTCAGGTTTGACACTGTCTTGGGCTTTGAACAATGTTTGCACCTAACATTGAGAACACAAGAACTGATATGAAGTCTTATGTTGATTTAGCAGTTCTCAAAATGTCAAAGGCTATGTTCTTGCTGTTTATACGACCCAAAAAGCAGTAGAATGTTAATGCCTTTTATATGTAATTGTCAATGAAAATTCATAGCCCTTTCATCTCCTGAGTATAACCTCTGAATGGAAAGAACATGTAAAAGTGCTTTACTCCTTTACCTCTCATTACCCATAACAGGAGGGACTTTTAGGAGGGGGGGGGGGGGATTAATGGAAAACAATCCCAGAAGAGGCACCAAACTGGCTCTGCAATATACCTGCCTTGTTGACAAGAGTTCAGAGAGATTTTGTATGGATCAGAGCCTACAAAATTGAAGAATTCTGCCTATGATGTGATGTGTGTTTCTCTTAGAAGTGCTTTCTTAGTTTCTATAGCCAGGAACCCGCTATTAACATAAAATTGTAAGTCTCAAAGAAGACTGATGCTTCTTGTTAAAACATGTAAATATTTGTGTCTCATGCCTCAGATATAAAGCAGATTTTTATAACTACATAAAGTCAGCAAACGGTTTTATAGCATAGAGGAAATTAATGTTGTTTTAAAAAATTGGTCGTAAATCAAGAAATTTAAGACTGTGTTCTCAAATACATCTTCATTAGATCTATTGATTCTCATAATATGTAGCAACAAATGGGCTCTTGCACTGAACCAACAGAACAGATGAAGTTATTGCTTGCTTCTTTATAAGCAGAATGCAAAGCTCTCAGTCCTAACAGTTTGAATGTCAGCAATGTAACACATACAATCACAGAATGAAGGAATGAAAGCCATTATTAAAACAACATAAATCATAAGAGATGGCTACTAGTTCATTCAGACAGAGTCCTCTCAAGGTTCTTTCTTTCTGATTTTTGCTTTTATCGATGTGAAATTATTCAACAAAAATATCGGGTTGGTATAAATGTTTTACATAACTAGATTACTACACAACAATTCTTATTTTCAGTACTTTTTCTGATTTCTGAAGGTGTATCAGAATGTAATATGAAATCACTGTGGACCATGATCTGATGTTGTCTTTTATTATTTCTCCTCTCACCAATCTTGATTGTGTTGGCAATTTTTCAGCAAGAGTGTAACAAGAGCCTACCTAGGAAGTATCAGAGATAAAGTCCTCTATCTTTCCAGCATCTTACTATTTCAGCTTTTGCAGTTCTACTAGAGCAGATGTTCAAATTTTTGAGGCAAAAGCAGAACCGCCACATAAACAACTGATTTCAATTTTGCCCTAGAATACCTTCTATAGCAGTGGTTCTTAATCTGTGGGTCCCCAGATGTTTTGGCTTTTAACTCCCAGAAATCCTAACAGCTCAAAACTGGCTGGGATTTCTGGGAGTTGTAGGCCAAAACACCTCGGGACCCACAGGTTGAGAACCACTGTTCTATAGGGATCCAGAAGTTTTCCTAACTTGGGAACTGATTCTATTTGTGTGGTCTAGACCCGCATTGGCCCTTTTCGTTGTTGTTGTTATTGTGTGTCCTCAAATCATTCCAGACTTATGGCAATCCTATGGGGGTTGTTCAGCAGGTATTTGCTTTCCTCCGAGAACAAGGTCACCCAGTGGGTTTCCATGGCTGAATGGGGATTTGAACCTTATTCTTTAGAGTACATTGGCTCTCACTGACACAAAATCAATATAGCCACACTAAATCCAGGGATTCTGAAAAAGAAACATGCAGATACCACTCTAGTGCATAAAGCAAACCACTGAATGGAGGAAACAACTTTGAAATTTGTCCCCATTTCCATTAACCATGTACTCCTGCTCATGCATTATGCATATGAGCATCACGAGCACATCAGAAAACATTTCTGTTCAAAGTAAGGATCTCTCTTTAGAGTATACTGTGCATATGAAATGAACAAATGCAGAGAACTGAATGGAATCTATACTGGTTGACATGAAGCCCCCAAGTGCAAAAAGACCAATCACTTTGTGTCTAACAGCTTCCTTCCTTCCTGGGTTGTGGGGAGAAAGCAGAATCAATGCTCATATATGACACATGGAGCTTCCAGGAAGAGCATCAGGTTAGAATTAACTGCTTCAATAATAACACATACAGTATTTTTCCATATTATGCTTGATCTTTTCTGTGGATATTTAATTCGATGACAGGATAAGTCAATGGAACATAAAGAAACAACAATAACAACAAGAATCCTAAAAGTGATCTTGGATCTGATTCTTATTTAGACTAGTTTTCAGATCCTTTCAATTTTAATATTAACTATTACAACACATAATGCAATTTTCCAAATATCTAACTACTATTCAAAGGTTTCAACATCAGCACCTGAGCAATGAAAGAGGCCAGATTTACATTTTTTTTTCAAGTCAGGAGTGACTTAAGAAACTGCAAGTCACTTCTGGTGTGAGAGAATTGGCCGTATGCAAGAATATTGCCCAGGGGATGTATGGATGTTTTACCATCCTGTGGGAGGCTTCTCTCATGTCCCCGCATGAGAAGCTGGAGCTAACAGGAGGAAGCTCACCCCGCTCACTGGATTTGAAATGCCAACCTTTTGGTTAGCAGTCCTGCCAGCACAAGGGTTAACCCGTTGCGCCACCGGGGACTCCTTTGTACATACTTGATGGAATCTACTCTTTTTACTTCCATTTTAAAGACTTACCCATAGTATTGAGTATTTCCTTGCCAAAAAAATGGAGCTGAAAGATCCAGTAGCACAAGACTGCCCTCTGTGGATCTCACAGGTATAATTCCTTTAAATCTTTTTGACAGCTTTAACATTTCCTTTACCATTCCACCTGTTGGCGAAAGAAGTTGTTCAAGGTTATTTTAAAATTCTGATTACATGGCTTACTGCCATGAAATGCAATGGTTGACTCTAAAAAGAGCAGCGCAGTAAAAACGACCTGTACTGTCGGTCTGCTGTTTTCAAGTAGCTTATGAACTGTGACCATAGCAATTAGCCCAAGGCTACCTAGAATCCTTCCAGGCTAAAAAGAAATATGACCTTGCTTCCTCCAAATCCCAAGCATACAGGTGTAAAAATCAACACGAAGACTGTTTAGATTTATTGGAGTATGTGTATGCTTATGTCTGGAAAACAATGTTCTCAGATATGATCAACCAATTTAAGGGATTGGCTTTGATATCAAAATGTGCTATAATTAAGAGATCAGGATAGCTTTGACATCATAAAGTACCTCAAGATCATTTCATTCTCCTCTTTCTCGCCTCCTTTTCTGCCCCCCCCCCCAATCAACAACACACTTTATTAGAGATTTAAGATTGCCTACACATCGCACCTACCCTAGAATCCTTACATTTCACCTGTCATGTTCAGCACTTTTAGCTTTACCCATTACATTTGGCCCGGCATCGAGTCCTTCGGGAGATGTTAGCGGGGTATAAATAAAGTGAATAATCATAATAATCATCATCATAATAATAATAACAACAACTTGTCAAAAAAGAGAAACTAAGGTAAATAATTTCAGTATATAAGCATGGTCCTGTAAAGTGAAATGCAATGTCAATGCAGACTCAAGTCTCTCAACCATGCAGAATGGAGTACTACTTTGATATATAATCTTTGAGGCAATCAGTTAAACAGAATAGTGATGGGCATGCCAAACCTTTAAAAAGGCTGCTTAAAAATAATTTATTGACTTGTATCTCAAAAAAAGTCATCACAGAAGTCATCACTACATATTAAAACTATTAAAGCAAAAGAACAAATAGGCACTAACCACAAGAAAGTTACTTTGCAAAAGGGAGCCCTCTTGCATTAATGCACAAAACAAATGGGAGCACATCTTCTTGGGTAGTTGCCACTCATTTCAGCAGAACCTTTGTGGCTCTTTAAATACTTTACAGTCCATAGCTCCTCTCCAGTCTTCTCACACTAATACAGTTTTTATAAATGTGAAAATACTGACATCCAGAGGATGGTTAAGCTAAAAACCAAACAGAAAGTGGAAGACATTCCAACTTATATTTTATCGAGAAGAAAAGGGGTTTAGAGAAAGATATATGTGTTCAAGTAAAAACAGAATGAAAATTATTATCTTATTTAAATATAACTCACACATTCAACTGATGCACATCTGAGTTTCTCTACTCTGAATTTCCATTTTAACTGCTTTTATTTTATTTTTATTCATTGCAATAAGTGTTTTTCAGGAAGATTTGGATATGTAAGACACTGCAGGGCATATATCCTTGTTAGCAGGCATGATTTAAAGGTCTCCCTCCTTTAAAAGAATATTGGAACCCACAGGCATGATGTGAGACTCAATGAAGCCCTTCACATATGGGGAGTAATTAATATTCTGCTGTTCCTTATGGGTAGAGTACATTTTTTCAGAAAGCAAAGTTTTAATAAGCTGCTCTACGTATAGATAAAACTGAAAAATAAAGCATGTTTTAATGTTTCAGACATTTTCTCTTCGCATGTTGTGTTGATTGATGAGAGCCATGTAAAAATAACAGTTGGAAGTAAATTCATGCTTTTAGGATGAGATCAGAAGTATTTAAAATTTTGCCACATTTTGGAATAACTTATTTGTATATAATAATACTACTAAGATTACCTTCAAGGTGTTTCAACTACCATAGCTCAATGCTATAGAGTCCTGGGATTTGTAGCTTGGCAAGGCACCAGGACATTTTACCAGGGAAGGACCTTGTGAAACTACAACTCTATGATTCTATAACATTGAGCCATGGCAGTTTAGCTGCATTCATAGTCATAGGTGCTTTCCCCTCAGGGCCAACTGCCTGGCCACGCATCTGAAAGAATGGAGAACACTCAAGAGTAAGGAAAGGTAAGAAAGGAAAATGTGAGGTGCTAGAGGTTTGTGAGGTCTCTTTTCTGTCTAAATCACTCCTGGCTAGTGATGGCAGAGGCTTCCCTTGACACTCTTGCCAGTTGCCATTCCCACTCTTCTCTCCACATAAACATGCTCTGTATCTTTGTGCCCTTTGCAAGGCTTGCAAGGCTATCATATCTAATTGTGAGAAGGAGGCAACAGTGGAGATGACAAAGGAGGAAGAGCCCGAGCAAGAAAGGTAGCAAGGAAGCAATGTGGCTGGTTTTGTATCAACAGCATTGCCACCAGCGCTTTGGCAAGGTGTAGCGATGGGAACTCCTCACACAGCCTTTTGGAAGAGAAGGCACATGGATGGCTTATGGCACCCCATGTGCCCTCCCTTCTTCCCCTATCATACAATGGGAATGGCACAGGATGCATTAGCACTCTGTCCCTGTGTTCACCAGAGGAGAAAAGGATGGTAACATGTGTTGCTCCATCACTCTTCCCCCCATCATATAGGGAAAAGGGGAGGAAAGTATGGATAGCTTCATCAGAGCTACCCAAAACACACTTTCCTCCTCATAGTGGTGGAGGAAATGCCTTTTGGCGCTTCCCCTCCTCTTTGGGAGGAAAGTGGGCGGGGCCTGCTGTGCATCTGGAGCATGGCAGGCACCGTCCTTGCTGTGAATAAAAGCAGAAAAATGGGGCTAAAATGCCCTGTGTGAAGAGATCCATTGTGTACTTGAGGTGTATGGGATGGTCCTCCTTTTACTGCTGTTGACTCATGGGGATGGTGCTACAAATGATGACAAGAGGGGAGGGGGGCAGATGTGGGGGTACTGCCCACTGCAGCAACAAGGGGTGGCTTTCCTTCTCTTATCTATCCCATTGACAGAAATAAGTAGATGAAGAGGAGAATGAAAGTGGGTGGATGGCTGCAAAAAGCTTTGGGGTTTTGAGAATACCGAAGAGTGGAATTAGCTAACCTTCTAGAAGAATCAAGCTGTTTTCTGGTTTCTGAGTTTGCTCAGCATGCTTTACAAAATGAGTAGCTACATGGCGCTGCCCTTGGTTTTCAGTATCCCACACAACAGATTCACAGAAGGATATACTTTGTAATTTTGGATCTGAGCATGAAGCTGAAGTTTCTTGAATGATTAAATCAACCTCGGGCCAATCCGGAACTTCCTGCCTGAAAACAATTACAGCACAAAGTGAAGGCAGAGTGAAACGAAGCACTTTAATAAGCATCACTAACAACAACAATAATACTGGAAGAAAGATACTGTAGTTACGTATCGTTGTTTTTTTAAAATCTAGAAATCCCTTCTGAAAGTATTTAGGATGCATGATAAGGTGACATGAAAATAACAATAGGTACTTCATCTGACTGTACATTTTGGGATGAAACTGAACTAAAAAAACTAACTGAACTACAAAACAGCACTATGAGATTACAAGAAAGATGTACAGGCAGTCCTCGAGTTACAAACAACAGACATAAAACTACTCAGAGTTAGGAACAGGGATGAGACAACAGGAAGTGAGAGAAATCTCCCCCTAGAAAGGGAAATTCACTCCTGGGAGAGCTGTCATGGGGAAAGGTACCTCTACTGAAGCTTTAATCACCAATCCTTGTTTCCACAACAAGCCAATTTTTTTCAAAATCCAATTATCACAGGGGCAGAAAGTGAGGTGAACTCTTCTGAACAGGAGCAAAGACAGCAAAACAAACACCACAGGGGTGTTAATCCTTCCCTAGGCTAACCAAAGCTTAACCAAAGCTTAAGTATATATATATATATTTGGATGGAGTTACACTTTAAAAAAGTATCTCTTTTGACTTACATACAAATTCAACTTAAGACCAAATCTACAGAACGAATCTTGTTCATAACTTGGGAATTGTTTTAAGGCACTTACAAACAATTGCACTGAGGACAATGGAGTTTAACCGACTGATGGAGCTTCACAGGTTCAAATCTTCTCAGTTTAGCTCTGACACGATATTGCTGGGGATGCCTGCTGTTGATAATAGTACTCAGTGCTGTCACATCCAGATGCTGGTGATCAGTTAGTACTGTAAAATATTAAAAGAATGACAAACACTTATGCAACCCAAATAGTAAACAATATTTTGATTGTGTGTGTGGAGGGGGGAGGTGTTGAATCACTGCTGGAGTGCTGCATTTAATATTAATGACTTCATCTAATTGTTCACTTATTCTATGGACTATGACAGATATTCTTTTATAAATATATAAATGTAATGTATTCAATAAAAATATGTTTTCTGGTGGTTTGGAAAATAGATAATAAACCAATGGATTCAAATTACAGTCAAGCCTCCACATTTGCTGGGGTTAGGGGCACAGGAACCCATTAAAATAATTAAAAATCGAAAAATAGCAAATAAAAAACTTCCAATTTTTATTGTTCTTGTGTTTTGGGATTATAGAAATCTTTATAACTATATGTTTGTTTGTTTGTGTGTGTGTATCTACACACACACATAATTACTTTCTTATTTGTGAGAATTTCTAGGTCTTTCAACACAACTCCTGGAAACTGATCTCAGAATTGCACTGGAGTACCTAGAGATTCCTAAAGAGAAAGCACATTAATTAAATCTGCAAAAGTCAAAAGCTCATGGAGGATTGACTTTACATAAAAAAGATTCCATCTAAACATTAGGAAAAATCTTATTTACTGTATGTAGGTGCTGTTCGGAAGTGGAATAGATATTTCAAAGGGTTATGGACCCTCCTTTTCTTTGGAGTTCTTTAAACAGAGGTAAGATGGACATCTTTTGGGAGTGCTTTAGTTGCATGTTATTGCATGTGCAGGGAAAATTGACTAAATGGTCCTTGTAATCTCTTCCAATTGATATAAAAGAAACAAGGTACTAAAGAAATAAGCTACTGAGAAAATAGATTTTGTAAACAGAATGGAATGTCAACTGCTAACTTCAAGGTGTCCTCCCATTCTGGCAGATGTTTCACCCCATTGCAGGGGAGTTTTGTGTGCAGATAACAATTTCCTGGTGACACAATAGACTATAGCTCAGAGGGATGGTAGAAAACCCAATTGTTTGGGCAGATCTAGTATAGATGTGTGATAAACTGAACACGAGATTCCTACCTGTTACTGATAACTGTTGGAATCTGTCCACACGGGATCCTACTTAGATAAAAGAAAGGATATTCATTTTCTTTAATTCATCACATTTCCAAATGATCAACAAGACAAAACAATATTTTTAAAATGTCATCAAGGAAACAAGACATGGCATGGATAGGCAATGAAATCCATGAATACTGACTTCTTACAACATTTCTGCTGATCTCTTTTTAGATTACATTGACCATGATTCCATATATAGATTATTTATTACATGTCTTTGTCACCTCTCAGCTCAAAAGAGCCCCCAAAGTAGTACAGAAGAGATTAACACTTTCCTCAAAGTAAACTTTTTAAAGTTATTCTAACATGTTGCTTCGAACAATACAGAAAATGACAAATAAAGGCATATTCCACATATGTTCAAAACTCCTCAATTTGGCAGCTCTAACTAAAAGCTTATCTGCTTTAAGACTAAATAAGCCCATTATTTAAACTCCTGGGATCTTTTGAAAGCTATTCCTTCATATGTGAAAAATAATACATATCTTACATGGAATATAAGTGGTATCAAATTCTGGAAAAGATGGTTCTGAATGCTCATTTGATGTCAAGTCAACAGTATCCAAGAATCTGAAAATGAATAATAAAGTGGCTTCGCAGGTTATCAGGAGAGCATACCAGATCTCAAAAAACCTGTAAAAGCTATTACCGGTGTATCTTATTCTACTTTGTGTAGAGCATACGACTGGTTTTGACTTTTTTTAGTCTTTTTAACTAAAAATTTATGTTTAGACTCAAATATTAATTTACCACCTGTGAAGTGGTATTTTAGACTAAAAAAAAGTCAAAACCGGTTATGTGTTCTACAGACTCTTCAGTTCAACTGACTGGCTTCACAAGCGGCAAATTTATGTTTAGTTTGATATTCATTCTGATGTATGGAGCATCAACTTCATACTTGTAAATTTGTACTTGTTTATCCAATATAAGTTTATATTTCATACCTGTTTATTGATTATTGAACTATACATACTGTTGTATTTGTGAGTATATATTACTTTGGTGTATAATCAGGAACCCATTTAATTTATATTAAGCCCGTGTGCTGGAAGAATGCTGACCAACAGGTCAGCGCTTCGAATCTGGGGAGAGCAGATTGAGCTCCCTCTGTCAGCTCCAGCTCCCCATGCGGGGACATGAGAGAAGCCTCCCACAAGGATGATAAAACATCAAATATCTGGACATCCCCTGGGTAACATCCTTGTAGACGGCCAATTTTCTCACACCAGAAGCAACTTGTAGTTTCCCAAGTTGCTCCCGATAAAATAAATAAATAAATAAAACATGCCGGAGAACCAATGCTTGCATTGTGTCCATATAAAGTATGTCTGCCTGAAACATTTTTGCTGAGGAAGATCCTAAGATGGTCTTGTCAGTTTTTAAAAGATTTAGTGAATCTAAAGATTATTTGTTCACTACAAATTTTATTTTCTAAGCATATATTTAGCTTATCTATATTGTTTAAAAGTGTACACTATGTTTACGTAATCATTATAAGAATGCTGTAAGATTTATCTCAGACCAAAATGTAAAATTTTGGGAGGTCGGATATAAATCTATGAAGATGCCATCTGGGGAATCTAGGAATTGTGGGATCAATATTACACAGGCAAGATTCCTAATATCAACTGCTTATCAGTACAAGCAATAAATCCCCATGATTACAGCATTATTTATCATTCTTTTTTCCAAGGTGACATCTGTCTTAAATATTTACTCACGCCTTTAATTCCACGGCATCTGTGTGGCTTTCTGACAGCACAGTAAACCCACGGCCATAGCCAGTACCACCATGAAGATGAAACTGCAGGTATGAAACGTCAGGCTTTTCTTCAGAGTTGTAGATTTTTACATGCAAACTGTACAGTCTAATAATGCTTCCAACCTTAAATATATACAAAAAAGACAAGACCATTATTCTTCATACTAGTTTTGTCCTAAGTATGTTTGAATAAAAGGAATTTGTATCAATAGTGATGTAGCCCATTTTCCTATAAATTATAACGTGTTGCCAATGTTAAAATACTCACTAGAGATTATATGGTTTACTGACTGCAGTTTCATTATCTGTGTATTTTTTTTAAAAAAACCCCACACAATTTGGTATTTAACTTCAGTATTTAACACAAGGAGTGAACTGTTTTAATACTGTAAATAGTTAAATTCTACTTTGATGTGCACTTTTTATGTTTTTATTTATTTTTTAATTGTGAGCTGCTTTGAGTCTCAATTGTGCTCCAGTTATGGGGTTGTGATATAAATAATTACTGTAGTATAAAGTAACAACAGCAGCAGCAACAATGTCTTCCTTTGGTCTGTATTAATGAGTAATTGCTCCTTGAAGTCTTTTATTATTTGGAAGTTTCTTGCAGCAAATTTGTATTCCAAATAAGATGTGATTTTTTATGCTATTTAAGATACAATAAGGAAGACAGGAAAAGAGTTCCCAATTTTGCTCTGTAAAAGTATTTCTGCTTCCTTTAATATCCATTAGATGGTGTTAAAGTATCACAAGCCTTTTATTTTAGTAAGACTGTAAACCCAAAAGGCTCAACCTAAAAATCAGGATTTCTATCTTACTAGAAAATGTTTTCATCAAACAACAGAAAAACGCAAAAAAAGAAACACATGTCTTCATGCTGTATAACTGGTCATGCTTTGAAAAGTTAAGCTTATGGTAATATTGATAAATGACACAACAGTGAGGTTGGCTTGGATCCAACTGTCTTCATACTCACCACTGCGTTATTAACTGCAAATACACTACTTTATTTCAATAATAACAACAGTGTGATAGAAAACTATTTATGAAAGTATAATGCATCTGAGAAATCTGACAGTCCCATTCACATATACAAACACATACACAGCCCACACCAGACAGTAGCACACAGAATTACAATCAGATTATAAACTTAGCAGGATTAGCAAGTGGGACATATATTAACATATATGTTTAAATGTTCTAACTGGCATGATTCATATTAGATTATGTCCTCAGTGAATCCTTGAGGAATGAAGGTGGCTATCAATAAACTGTGTGTAAACTGATCTCTCATGTTTGTCATGATTTAATTGTTCAAATTCTTAGTTAGCCCCGAGAAACAGATTCCGCAAACTGGAAAAGAATTTTAATACTATGATCTTACAAAATTGGTGCTGTCTGCCACCTTATCTTTTCCTACCGCCAGAAGGTGATTGTGGATTGTATTCATATAACAAACTGCAATCTTAATATTTTCCTTTTGAGGGCAGCATTGTACATCCTTATGTTTCTATTTGCCAAAATAAAATTCCAATAATCAATTGAAGCGTAGAAAATTAAAGAACTTAAAAAAACTACAAAAGTTGGGTTTGGATTTAAGGATTAAGGCACAAAAAGATGATAATTAATTACATCACCTTGTATATATCTTTATAAGCACTAGGCAGAAATGCACACTATTAGAGACAGTTGACAACAAAAGATTTAAATCAATGGCTCCCTGTTTTCTGTTTCAATCAAGTAGCCAGTCATGTTCTTCTCCAGGATACTCTATTGGATTTCTTCCTCCAACTCCGTTCCCACTGTCTCCTGGATTAGATTATCTGTCTTCTCTGACTAGCAAACATATGTTCTGCATTCTATGTCCATAGTTGGTTTTCTGTGACTAGCAAACATATTCAGACCATATTGGACCACATGTACTTCCAATAAGACTTGAGCTTGTTCAGATCTTCAAACTCACCCCCTTTGAGAATGGACATTCCTATTTTGGCTACAGTGATGTCGAATGCCAGATATATAGAGAATAAAATATATTGCCTTTATTCAATTAGTATAATGCTCTTGGATTGAAGGTCACTTTTTTATGCTACTAGTATGAAATGCAAAATAGAAGATCCAATCCAAATGTAAACCCTAGCCAAAACTGACCTAATGAATCAATGATGTGAGGGTTCAACAACCGACTTTATTGCTCTGCTTGGTTTGGGAATAGTAATCAGACATACCCAAAAAATAGAAAATGATTTCCTGTGGGAAGAGCAACTTAGAATCATCTTATCATTTTTCTGGTTCTCATAATATAGTAAGACCACAACACATCTCTAACAAAGCTCTGAAAAAGCAGCCATGATAGAGGATTAGGAATACATTTTAGAGGCTAGAATATAGTTACTATACTCCCAAATCAAGAATGGAAAACGGAATGTTGGTGGACAGGAAAGGAGATTTAAAGATGGGCTTAAAGCTAACCTTAAAAACAGTAGCATAGAGAGTGAGGACTGGGAAGCCCTGGCCCTTGAGTGCTCTAACTGGAGGTCAGCTGTGACCAGCAATGCTGTGGAATTTGAAGAGGCACGAATGGAGGCCAAAAAGGAGAAACCTGCCAAGAGGAAGGCGCATGATGCCAACCCTGACCGGAACTACCTTCCACCTGGAAATCAATGTCCTCAATGTGGAAGAACATGCGGGTCAAGAATAGGGCTCTGCAGTCACCTAAGTATTGACTGCCAAGACACTACGCTTGGAAGGCAATCATACTCTGACAATGAGGGGTCACCTAAGTAAGTAGGTTAGGGGCTAGTCCTATTAGAATAGTGGTTCTCAACCTGGGGGTCGCGACGCCTCGGGGGGTTGTTCGGCCATTTTCTGGGGGTCGCAAAGCCACATTGGCTGGCCACGCCCCCTCCAAAATGGAGGCTGACCCCCTGAGCCAATGGCACTCCTGGTAAGCTGTTCCTCCTGATCTTCCCAGAGATCTGTGGGTAGTCAGGAGGAGGGGCTTTGGATGAAAAGGCACGCAGGAAGCAGACTCACCATTTCTTGAAGACCCTCTGTTCTGGGCTGAAGGGTGAGTAAACTTCTTCCTGCAGTCCTGAATGCCTAGCCGTCCATGGAGTCATCCGCCCGTCCCTAGCCTACATCTGGGATGAGAAATTGGCGAGGGACGGGCGAGTGGCTCCGCATGTGGCCTAGGCCGCACGCGAAGCCATCCGCCCGTCCCTCGCCTCCTTCTGATGGCAGAAGGAAGAGAGCGACAGGTGAGTGGCTCCACGCCTGCCTAGGCTGCGAGCGAAGCCACTCGCCCATCCCTCACCTCTTTTTGATCCCAGAAGGAGGCGAGGGACGGAGGATGAGGAGGATGGAGGATCTGGAAGAAACTTGGCACAAATCCTCAATATGCCCAAATGTGAACGTTGTGGAGTTTGGGAAAATAAGATCTTATAGTTCAGTGGTTCTCAATCTTTCTAATGCATAAGGAGGCGAGGGACGGGCAAGTGGCTCCACGGGCGCCTAGGCCGCGCGCGAAGCCATCCTCCCGTCCCTCGCCTCCTTCTGGGATCAGAAAGAGGCGAGGGACAGGCGGATGGCTTCGCACGCGGGCGCTTGTGGAGCCACTCGCCCGCCCCTCGCCTCCTTCTGCATTAGAAAGGTTGAGAACTACTGAACTATAAGACCTTATTTTCTCAAACTCCACAACCGCTTGAAGATACTAACCCAACAAACCATTTCTTTCTTATTTAGTATGAAACATTTCTTGAAACCTTACTAATTAATTCCAAACCAAATTATGTCCATTCCACATTCAAATGAGGTACAAGTTGAGCTTCTCTTCTCTGGAAATCCCAAATACTCCATAATTGTTCACATGGATGATTAAGGAAGTGACACTTATGTTTCCTGGTAGCTCAGTGTGCAGATACTTTGTTTCATGCACAAAAATATAAAAAAAAGTATTTTCTATAAGGTATATATGAATCATAAATGAATGCTGTGTTTAGACTTTGGCCATCGTCACCAAGGTATGTCATTATGTCCATCTTAAAGGTATCTCATTATATACATGCACATATTCTAAATTATGGGGGGAAACCTGAAACAAATATTTCTGGTCCCAGATACTTTGGAAAATAAATGCTCAACCTGTATGATGGATAGGTTGGACAAGATGGCTGGGTGGACTTAAAACAACACTGTAACTGGGGGAACTTCTACACTGCCCTGTATCCCAGGATCTGATCCCATATTTTCTTGTTATCCCAGATTATATGGCAGTGGAGGCAAATATAATACAGTTCAAAGCAGATAATCTGGGATCAGATCCTGGGATATAGGGCAGTGTAGATCCAGCCAAAGAGTGTCTTTGCCAGAGATATTTTAAACTCAACAATCTTATAATCTGCTCCTTTCCCTTGCAAATTGCTAACGGGGCAGAAAGAATAGATTATACTTTGGAAACTCTGTTGGAGATGGCTGCATCAGTGTAGTTCATTGTTAATGTTGTATTGTACATCAGTTGTGAGACTAAGGCTTCTAACTGAATCCCAGTCCTCTGTATCACCGCTCAGCTTGCAGTGAAAATCAGCCTACTGAAAATTGCCTTCCCAGGCCTTTTTTTCCGCATCAAGTCAAACATTCAGCTACATTTAGACGCCTCATGCTCCACTGACTTGCATACAGACTGATTGCACATTTAAATGCTCACAAACTAAACATAAAATAAACTGTGCACATGAAGTAAGATGAATTGTTACCTTGGCCCAGTGGGTGAAGAAACACCAAAGAAGTTCAAAGAGAGGTGTATTCGAGTATGTGTGGCGAGGGGTGGGAATAATGTTTCAGTGCACTTTGGATTTCTAGATGTAAACAGCAATACCAAATTCATTTCAAAAGTGCCAGTCTTCATACTGCCAAAATGACATCACCTCTGCATAAGAAGAAGACATCCACAGGATTGGTAACAAAAAAACAAACCCCCCGCCCCAAAACAAACCCAAATACTTAGAGGAAAATTCCTTTCTGCACATACACACTGACATCCAATGAAGACTGACAATGTTTTAGCATAAAATTGTACAATCAAAGACTTATAAGACACCCTAAAAGCCATATAGTCCAAC